ATGATGATGATGATGCCGCTTCTGATGATTATGATGATGATGCTGATGATGCTGATGATGCTGATGATGATGAGGATGAGGATGATGACACCGAAGGCACCGATGATGATGACTCAGATATCGACCAAAGTCACCTTGAAGCTTTCGAGCCTCGTCATCCTCCTCCTTTTCCTCCTCTTCCTCGTCGTCGTCCCCCTCCCCCTCCTCCTCCTCCTCCTCCTCCTCCTCCTTCTCCTCCTCCTCCTCCTCTCCTCTTCCGCCTCGTACCCCTCCCTCTCGTTCTCTCCCTCTCGTCTTCCCTCTGGTCCTCCTCCCCATCGTCCTCCCAATCGTCCTCTCCCTCTCGTCCTCCCCATCGTCCTCCCCATCGTCCTACCCATCGTTCTCCTCCCTCTGGTCCTCCTCCTGCCCGGTCTCGGGGCGCTCGCCGAGGCTGACGACGACGACGACGACGAAGGACGACGACAACGACGACGGACGATGTCGACGGACGACGACGGACGACGAGGGACGACGACGACGAGGTCGACGGACGACGACGACGGCGGACGACGACGACGGTGTCGACGGACGACCGACGACGACGACGACGACGACGGACGATGTTGACGGACGGCGACGACGACGGACGACGACGACGATGTCGACGGACGACGACGACGACGACGACGGACGACGACGACGAGGTCGACGGACGACGACGACGGACGACGACGGACGACGACGGACGATGTCGACGGACGACGACGACGGCGGACGACGATGACGGTGTCGACGGACGACCGACGACGACGACGACGACGACAACGACGGACGATGTTGATGGACGACGACGACGACGGACGGACGACGACGACGGTGTCGACGGACGACGACGACGACGACGGACGACGACGACGAGGTCGACGGACGACGACGGCGACGGACGACGACGGACGACGACGACGGACGACGACAACGACGACGGACGATGTCGACGGACGACGACGACGGACGACGACAACGACGACGGACGATGTCGACGGACGACGACGACGACGACGGACGACGACGACGGTGTCGACGGACGACCGACGACGACGACGACGGACGATGTTGACGGACGACGACGACGACGGACGACGACGACGATGTCGACGGACGACGACGACGACAGAAAACGACGACGAGGTCGACGGACGACGACGGCGACGGACGACGACGACGACGGACGACGACAACGACGACGGACGATGTCGACGGACGACGACGACGGACGACGACGACGATGTCGACGGACGACGACGACGGCGGACGACGACGACGGTGTTGAGGGACGACCGACGACGACGACGACGACGGACGATGTTGACGGACGACGACGACGACGGACGACGACGACGATGTCGACGGACGACGACGGCGACGGAGGACGACGACGAGGCCGACGGACGACGACGGCGACGGACGACGACGACGACGACGACGACGACGACGACGGACGACGACGGACGACGACGGACGATGTCGACGGACGACGACGACGGATGACGACGGACGACGACGACGATGTCGACGGTCGACGACGGCGGACGACGACGACGGTGTCGATGGAGGACCGACGGCGACGGCGACGACGGACGATGTTGACGGACGACGACGACGACGGACGACGACAACGACGATGTCGACGGACGACGGCGACGACAACGGACGACGACGACGAGGTCGACGGACGACGACGGCGACGGAGGACGACGACGAGGCCGACGGACGACGACGGACGACGACGACGACGACGGACCATGTCGACGGACGACGACGACGGACGACGACGGACGACGACGACGACGATGTCGACGGACGACGACGACGGCGGACGACGACGACGGTGTCGACGGACGACCGACGACGACGACGACAGACGATGACGACGGACGACGACGACGACGGACGACGACGATGGACGACGACGACGACGACGACGACGGACGACGACGACGAGGTTGATGGACGACGACGGCGACGGCCGACGACGACGACGACGGACGACGACAACGACGACGGACGATATCGACGGACGACGACGGCGGGACGACGACGGACGACGACGGACGATGTCGATGGACGATGACGACGGTGGACGACGACGACGGTGTCGACGGACGACCGACGACGACGACGACGGACGATGTTGACGGACGACGACGACGACGACGGACGACGACTACGATGTCGACGGACGACGACGACGACGACGGATGACGACGACGGCGACGACGGACGACGACGGCGACGGTCGACGACGACGACGGCGGACGACGACACCGACGACGACGATGTTGACGGACGACGACGACGGACGACGACGGACGACGTCGACGATGTCGACGGACGACGACGACGACGGACGACGACGGACGACAACGACGATGCCGACTGATGGCAACGATGGCGACGACGACAGGCGACGTCGACGGACGACGGCGGACGAAGGATGACGACGACCGGCGGACGACGACGACGACGGACGATGTCGACGGACGACGACGACGACGGACGACGACGACGACGATGTCGACTGACGACGACGAAGATGTCGACGGACGACGGCGTCGACGGACGACAGCGACGACGATGTCCACGGAC